GACTATTTTAATTACTAAGACATTTGTTTCTTTTGACTAAAAAAAAAATTAGTAATTGTGCAAAACAAAAAATCCTTAAAAAACCAATAAATATAAATTACTTATTTCCCTCTTCTGCGTGCCCCATAAATCTGCCATCAGTACATTTCTTTACCCACATTAATGCAAAAGCCAGCCGCACATAAATCTATCAAAAGTAAGTAATTTATTATTTTTTAAAAATGATTTTTTCGCTTTATTTGTACCCTCTTTAATTTGCTTGTTAATTAGCAAAAAGAAGCAGAAATCAAAATACGAGCAGCCTTTTCCAACTTTTGTCTCCTTACACTACCATTCGTCTTTTGAAATACACGCGTTTTTAATTATTTGCTTATACGCACAAACACTTGCCGCTAGTCCCATTCACTCATTCCACCACAAATGAAATACAAAAACTTTGCTTAACCGGAAGTTGCACTAAATGACCGTTTCTCGAATGCGTTTAGCTGCCAAGTGCAGAGTTCCGGAACGCGGAGCAGCGCCTTTAAGGGAATGATTGGGTAAGTGAGCAAGCCTGGTCAGTCCAATTTGAGAGCGTGGGGATGCAAATCTGGATAGTGAGCAATAATGTCTCGAATGAGAATTATAAATATTTCTCATTGCTATCTTCTAATTGCAAATTTTATTTGGTGTCATTTGATTTAATTTTAATCTGCCTCAAAGATACATACCAATCGATTTCTTTTTTCACCGAGAATCAAATGTGAAAATAAATTTTTATTTATAATTTGTATGCAAAATTAAAATAAATAGCAATTATTTTTGATTTTTATTTTATAAATCCAAAATAACAATTATTTTTTATTTTTATCCAAATAATCTACAAATAACAGTTATTTCTGATTTTTGTATTATAAGTCTTAGATAACAGTTATTCAGTTGAAAAATGCTTGAAATACAACTTTTTTAATTTTCCGAAGATCTGACTTTTGATCCCTTATAGGACCTGCAATATAATTAAGAGCGAAAGGGGGACTACTTCTACATTTTTACTTTTTTAGTTGTTTACATACAATAATTCAAAATAATTTTTTATCAAGGGTCCAATTTCGAACTTCGAAGGCCCATATCTCGACTTCGGAGGCTAACTTCGAAAAACGGAGAAACTACTTTTTTACTTATGAGTCAATCTTTTCAAAAAATTTTTTTGGTCCAATACCCAGAAAAAAAGGTTGATTTTGCGTATGGTGTTTTTTTTTAATCAAAAGGCGGCTGCCATGATTGAGCGGTTAGATGTTCGAACTACCATTTGATAAGACCCAGTTGTGATCCCTGGCCCAGCAATATTTAAAAAAAAATATACGTTGCTTGAAGTTGGAAAATAATTCAAAACGAAATAACTTTAGTTATGTTAAGCCCACCATTTAGCTAACGAACCAAACATGCATCTAAGGCTTACGCTTTTCGTTTGTCGTTTCAATAATCCACTTTATTTCGCTATAAATGGAGATAAAAAATAGACTACGCTGACGTTGAATTGGTTATAAAGATGAAAGAATGTTGTCCACAACACCCTATTGCTGCATAAGAGAGGATAGAAAATTATTGTTCTGGGGATTCAATATCACAAAAGGGATCGTCCTTTTCTAAATTTTTATCATTGCGATTAGAGTTAGGCTAAAATTTTTCGTATTTTAATTTCCCAAATGGATTTGAATGATCCTATCTGAAGGGGAGATTCAAAAAAAAAAAACAAGAATAATATAAAAAAAAATTAAAAAAAAAAACTGTATGAAAAACTTAATAAATGCATCCTCATGATAAATACAAAAAAATTAAAACAATTTAAAAGAAAGCTCTTTAAAAATTTAATAAAATTTAAAATATAACTAAAAACATTTCCGAGAAAAACGATAAACAATTGGGAAGTTATATAAAAACAAAACCCAGTATGTTTTCGTACATTACATAGGAATAAGTAAGATACGTACATTAGGGTGGCCCAAAAATGCATGCCAAAAAGCAAAGTCGGAATATTAATGCTCTCACCCCCTAAGATTGTTCTATACCGAAAAAAAGTATACCCCTGTCGGAAGAGGTGTAGTATACTAATAGCAAAAGATTGATTCCAAATATGTATTCATTTACAGAATCTCTTACATTTACACTGGGCATACATATCTAACTATGTATGTATGTAAGCATGTATATAAGTACATACTCAGCTAAAATCTTTGCATCATTTATTCCCAAAACCCAAAGCTGCATTAAAAATTTTCTTTGCCGTTGCTTAAGAGGAGAAATTCATATGCTTGTAATATTTTTAACTAAGTACAATGTTGACATTGTCTGTAAAATGCAAAACTCCTGTAGATGTGAGAAAAATTAGAGTTCACGTAAGATAACATTAGACAGAGGGAAATCATTATACATACTCGTATAGTAAACTCATTATAAAACCTACCATTCACAAATAAATTCATATGTATCCACAAGATTGTATGTATGACATATAAATTTACGTGAAGTATATACTACGTTGTTTATGGGTTTTCTTTGTATAGCTACACCTTGGGGAAAGGTGTAAGTATATTTATGTATGTCGGTGGAAATATGTGTGTATGTATGTATGGCAATACTTGTAGTAAATAATGAGTGGGCTAAAATAATAGGAGTAGTTTCTTACTACCATATATGTATGTACTGGCCTCAAATTGGTGGAGCACGGAGGCATAGCCAAATGAAAACGAAAAATATCGACGTCCTTGGGTATCCTCGAGGAAGGTACATATGTCTGTTTATAAAAAGGCTTCAGAACTGGATACCCCACGCTGGCGAGAGATGGTGGGCGAGAAAGTCTTTTGGCGTCGATATCCACCAACTTCTCAGGCTATGTGGTAAACCCGAAACCGCGTAGTCTATGAATGCTCCTGCAAAGGAACAGGAGGCTGTGTCCAAGCTCACTTTTGGGCAGATAGGTCACCGTAGGCAAGAAGTCGGGTGAGGATCATGTCATTGGATAGCTTCTTTGGAGTCTTGCAGTCGGCAACACTTCCAACGATGATGATTAGTTGTGGAAGCCATTTAACGTCGATGATATTGACTTCGAAGCCGAGATGACGTAGCTCGGTGAGCTATGCCGGCTTTTCACGTCTGAAATAGCACGCCGGGGAATGTAGGACAAAACGGAGCTAAGCCAAACTTAGAAGTGCAGGAACGCGCGCAACAGATTGGCTTAGTTTTTCTGGGTAATGAGGAAGAGAGGTCCAAAACGAGACAGGTATATCATCAAGAAGCATGCGGAGTCGGTTGGTCTTTTGAAGGAGCATCAAGGTCATTCATTGAGCCGCCACTGGCCAACTTAGATGCCGGAACTGATTTTACTACGTTATTCTGGGACTTCAGCTTCAGGATTCTAATAAGATTCCCAACTAGGGTAAGTAGAAAGGAACGGGGACCTACTGACTAGAAATGATGGTATTTTCATCTACACCAATGGCCCAAAGAAGAAAAAACACATGGCAGAAATCTTTATTCAAAGGACCTGATATGATATTATATCCACTTCGCGTTTGTGTCTTTCAGCAGGACATGTTTCTTTTACGAAATATTTAGTCCCTCCCGACGTAAGATATGGAAAATGCGTAGCAGCGAAGCGGATTGCTCCTGATAACAGCCACCGATACAAATGGCCTATGTAGTAATCGAAATTGTGTACTACTGTGCAGCCTCAAGGCCTTTATGGCCGAAGTTTAACCAGAATCGTATTTAGAAACTTTTAAAAACTCTGCGGAAAGAATTCTTACTGGCGTCATCGAAGGTCACTGTGCTATTGCACCAATGCTCAAAAGATGGTGTATACCAATCACAAGAATGATAGAATACAAGATTGCGCCGATCGGAGAGGATTTTTGA